TGCTAACGTATTATGCTTCTATTGTTTTTATTATATTTTTATCAAATACACAAAAATTCTTAACCTTTAGTACGCCCCTTCTTTAAAAAATCTCTGGTTCCGCCACTGCGTGGTGTCATAATAAAAACTTGTTGTGATTACATGTTGTCAAGTCCCACTTATTTCTTTGATTTTCTATTTTTGTTTTTTTGTTTATATTTTTTGGTTCTCCATTTTTCACATCTGAATACACATTTTTCATACTTCCTCTGTTTTTATTTCACTCTTCGAAATCGTAAATTAAGTATATATATATATACTATTATATGTCAATAAATTTCTATAAAAAAACAATAATATATTGAAATCTGATAGAACAAATATTGCTCGAAACCACTACAGAATTAATGTATGTGCTTAATGCAAAAAGTTTACATAAATGATACTACCTAATACATAAACAAAGCTTAATGAGCGACATTACTAAAAATCATACTTTTATAGTTTTTAAGTTAAAGATATATTTTATGTTGCTATCATAGCTACAACTGCAGTAAAAAGTGTTATTTTCAAAATTTTAAATATTCTGTATTTTAAGCTCAGATGTCCTATTGGGCAATTTTTTTAAGTCACATATTTTTTCATGATCTATGGATCAGAGTTAATATTAGAAATTAATTTATTTATTCAAAGTGTATTAGAAACTTGTTTATTTTGAAGAAAAAGTATGATGCATAAAAGTAAGTTATAAAGCACTAGAAACATGAAGCATGTTTCCCTAATTTAGCAAAAATAAAAAATTTAACATATACTATATTGTTGCATAGATCCCAAAAATATATGTGGTTTTAAAAAATTACCCCAATAGAATACTCGAGCGCGAAAAAATACAAGATGCATTCGAACATTGCAAATTTCCATTTTGGAAAAACACGGAAAAATGACTTCTCCAACTTAAGAAGAAAATCAGAGAAATGTCTCTATTTTCCAATTTTAGAGAATAAACAAGTAAACGAGCTCTTATTGTTTTGTTTCTATACATTGGCATAGATAAAGTTATTTGTACACATCAAACAACAATTTTTATTTTCACAAATATTAGTTTTCATACCAAAATATATTGATGGACGCGTAAGTCGCTTGCAAATCAATCTATGTGGACAAAAACAAGAGTTGTTTGTATGACCAAATTTTCCAAATAGATTTTATAACACAAACAGTTGTGTAGTTCACGGTCAATAGGCGCGTTTGTGCTATCACTTTTATTTGTTGATATAATTGTTTTTATTGTACATGTGTGAATAAAATATAAATTTTCGGATAAATTCTTGTTGCTCGATCAAACAATAGTTGTCTGTGGGAGCAAAAATAATGACACAATTGTCACTATGGGCAATTTACATATAGAAAAAAACGAAAATAATTAAGTTTGGAAGTATAGAGGAATTTTATGCAAATAAATAAATAATAATAATACTCGGTAATTCAAAGAGAAAAAAAAGATGTCATTGGTTTTTTCTTTTTGCTACTTTTTTGTTTATAAAAAGAATGATAATGCATCTCGGTCCCCAGCACTGACTGGACATTTAAGTGGGAGGATGTAAATTGAACTTTAATCACAAGTTGACAAATAACGAATGAAATTCTAGCTCAAATACTTGCAAAGACTCTATGCATTTTTACATAAGACTCGAAGTTGAGACTTATCTAGGAGATATTACCCAAAATGGGACTAAAAAAGTTTGAAAATTCCAAAATAGGACTTCCATGTTTTTATTCCCAAAATAGGACTAATTACTGCCATGTTTTGGCAGTACCAGACTTCAAACATGTCAGTATATTTCAAATTTGGCAGTAATTAGTCCTATTTTGAGAATAAAAACATGACAGTCCTATTTTGGAATTTTCGAACTTTTTTAGTCCCATTTCGGGAACTTTCCCTATCTCTTATGGTACCCTCTATATACCGGTTGAGTTATGCTCACCGATTACTTTTTTTTGTTCCAAAAACAAATGGACGGAGATTCACAAAGATGTCATTGGATCACTTTATATTGAGACTCATTTTTCGTAGCTCCCTCGTGTTGGTTTAAATCATTGCGAAGATAGTAAAACTGAAAATTATTTATAACTAACTTCATTCTTGAAGAAGCAGACCTAAAGAGGAAAAAGCCTTCCAACAAATTAAAATCTTCAAAATGAAAATGTGATAAATAAAAGAATTAGCTAGTAATAGCTATTTTTTGTTGTGAAATATAGTAATCGCTATTTTTTGGGAAATGAAACATTTCATTAATAAATTAATAAATATCTCCTAAAAGGAGATCACGGATACAAAATGAAAGGTTCTCATCCGACAATCAGCCTCACGAATAGCTTGTCTAGGTAAGATATGAGCAACCTCATTCGCCGATCGTCACCCAAATTGGACAAATATATTAGCGTTAACACCATCATATGTCTAATATCATCTGAAAGAGCCAAGTACATATGAGCATCTTTCTGCTGCCTGTATACTCTTCACCGCTAGCAGAGCATCGCATTCTATAATTAAAATTTTCCATCCATTTTCTTTTGCCCAAATAACAGCTTCCCATATTGCAATCAACTATGTTGCTCCTGGACAAAAAGTTCCTCGATCGGGGCCGCTATGCCTTTGCATTGTTCTTATTCACCCAATTTTGATAAAAAAAAAAATTACGGGTCCTAGACCGGTACCTAAACTGTGAGAATTCCTTTGAAAAATTACCCCCTCAATCCCAATAAATACTTCCCACATTGACTCGGATCGCAATTTTATGCAAAAAAAAAATCGAGAGGGTTGACTTTCCTAGAAAAAACCTTTGGTTGAAGAGGGTAAACAAAGTGGTAAAAACAAATAAAGCGATGAATGATGAAATAAAGAAGTAATTGATGTGCATAAAGCAATCACTGTTCATGTCCATCCCAATTGCAATTAAAAGAGGCGGCAATTTTGATTATTTCCTACTTTTGAGGGAATTCTATTTTTAGACATTACAAATACATTTTACAACCTAATCACTCCTCACAACTATAGAATACACTCCACACACACACACTGCCATCAGATTTATGGCATCTTCCTCAGCTACTTCATCTTTCACAGTTGCTTCTTCTTCCTCAGTTACCCCCACAAACCTGCACATTTTAACAACAAATGATGAGGGCGACACAGGGTCAACAACAACAAAAAGGCTTTCAAACACCGAAAAACAAAGCATAGCAAATACACTCTGAATGTCCAGTACGAGAGATTTTTTGGGGGAGTTCAAAGCTAAAAAAAATCAGTAAACTTGCTGAACAGTTTAAAGTATCCAGAAGAACTATTTTCAGCATATGGGATATAGCAAAAGAACAAGTTGTAAAAGGCGATGCAGTATATGTGCGCATAAAGTGGCCTTGAAAATCTGGAAGAAAAAGGATAGAATTTGATCTATCCCACATATCAGAGATCCCACTGTACAAAGGGACTAACATAAGGTCATTAGCACCTGCCAGTTCAATATCAAAGTCTACTATCCACATATTGGTTCATAGAGGTCGGCTTAGAAGTCATACAAATGCAATAAAGCCATTCATAAGGTCAAAGCATAGTTTGACCTTTTGTACTAGTAGAAGCATGTTCAGACCTTTTGTACTAGTAGAAGCATACTCAGACCTTTTGTACAAGTAGAAGTATACTCAGACCTTATGATCATACTTATTCCATCATTTTGGCACAACTACAAGCATATTCGGACCTTATATGCAGAAAAACTCATTCTAAAAATACTTTAATCACAGAATGCATAAACAACAATTTGTCGGACCTTATGGTCATCACAATATGCCAAAAAAACTTGAACACATTCATTATGGTCATCATAGTATGATTAAAGTACCATATCACAGGAATATGATCATCACATTATGCATAAATTACCGTATCACAAGCATATGATCATCACAATATGCATAAACTACCATATCACATGCATATGGTCATCATAACATGCACAAACTATCATATCACATGCCTAATACTTTCATCAGAGTATGCATAAAGAACCAATACACAGACCTCCCACTTTCATCACAATATACATAAAGAACCAGTACACAGAGGGATACTTTCATCACAATATGCATAAAGAACCAGTATGCAGTCCAAATGGTAATAACACTATGAATTAACTATCAGTAGTCAGACCAAACAACCATTTACAGACCACATGCATCACGGTAAACATCATTATAGTCATTTTTAATCATTGCTTCCCCCCCAAAAACACATTTAGGACACAAAGTACGAATTAAACCATAAACCAAGATAGGGTAAACAAGAAACTCCCCTAATTTGTGTCGACGTCCCACATCCTCGTTTCCCATTTAGGTATCATTAGTTTTAGGAACTCTTCCAGCCGAGGACTTCTCCGAATAGGGTGCATGTCGGTCTCTCTACGTCTTTTAAGCAGATAAGGGTCCACTGTCTCCGCCACAACCTCTGGAATCTCTATCACCACCACATCGTCAGGGATAAGAACCTCTTCATTTTCAGAGACGATGAACTCTTCACTCATCTCCCCCATAACCTCTGTCTGTTTCTCGCAAACATCCTCTGCAAGATCGTCTTCACTATCCGAAATTATCAGCAGTTCATCATCTTCTGGGGAGTATTGATCCACGCAGGTCGGATGGAGGTCCGATGCAGGGTCTGCAGTTGAAGGGGTAAGTTGTGGAGTTAGGGTTTAGATACAAATTATCCGCTTCTCAATAATGAAGATTGTGAGAGAGGGAGGCAGAAGAGTAGATAGATTAGAGAGGGGGAGACATCTGGAGTAAATGAGAGAGGGAGACAGATGCAATGACCGAGAAAGAGGGAGGCAAAAGTAGTATATGAGAGAGGGATTCGAATGGGGTAAATGAGAAAGAGGGATGTGGAAGGGCAAAATAGGATTTTCATTATGAGTTTCTTTCATTTTTTAGTATGTGAGATTTTTTTTAGATGACCAAAAAAGAAGGTTAGAAAGAATTTTTTTAGAAGATAGGGAGTATTTGTACGCAGTGTACCCACATGACACATGAGTATCTGACATCCATTTCCTGAAATGGACAACTCAAACACCTGAATTCCTGAACTCCCGAGATCGGAGCGGTCGTTTTATAGTTTAGGCGCGAGCCTAACATCTGCTGCACTTCTTCTCTGCGCAAAGTCGGCATAATAGCTTGGACTGATCACTGATAGTCTGCGACTGAGTCGCCTCGTAACTCAACCGCTGGCCCGTTTCGTAAGAAATGCTAAGCCGGGGATCGAATGCTCGGCTTTCCGGGATTGCCATCCGATCGCCAATTTCTTCTCTTATGCTTGCCATGTTCTCCACCATGGCTTCTCTGTACGTCGCCGGCCGGTGAGTTACCCGCTTCAATTTTATCCAGCTCATCTTCTGTCTCTTAAATCACTCATAATTCGTAATCTTCATATATATCATCCATTTAATCGATACCTTTCCGTATTTAATATAGTTGAGCTTAATGTTATTGGTTGTCAGTCTCCCCCTCATTCAATTTCTCAGTTGTATGAGCTAACAATTATTTTGATAATCCCTTTTTGCTCAACAGTTTATGGATTGATGCGGAAAATCGGGTTTACTTAACAAAAGAGCTTGATCGGATAACCGGACAGGTTTCTATTTTTTCATAGATATTCTTGCAGGAAGTGTGGATTTTTCGTTACTGATTTGGGGTGGACATGATTACTCTCTTCTAGGAATATTTGTCTTTTGGAATGGTCTATATTTGCTTATTTTTCCTCTTCAAATTAGGAAGGGTAACTAGGAGATGACATCCATATATCTCTTTTTACGTGGTTGCAATTATTTAAACAATCTTGGAATGGTAAAGTTAAGATTTGGCATGCTGTTTTTGAAACAGTAGTTGTATAAGCACATTATACATGTTAGCGGATTTTGATATTACCTGGATGATATAATATATGCACTAGAATACTTACTAGATCTACAGACTGCAGTAACTACCTCTATTCTCTTTTGATATCTGTGCTTTCACATATGTGCATATAAATCCATCCTTTATCGCTGTATGACGTTCGAAGTTCTTTAAATCTGTTTCTTCATCAATAGGGACATTCTGCCATCTCTGTTGACGACACTTGGAAGGTCATAGACTGCAGGTAGGCAAAACTTGTTTTAATTTTCTTTAGTTAAAATAACTAACATTATGTCTTTCGAATTCCACAAGGCTCCACTTCATACACAAGAATAGGGTTGTAACTTGTAAATTGTACTCCCTCCGTCCCATAATTAACTTCGGTTTTGACTGGGCACGGGTTTTAAGATAGCGAGATTTGTGTGGTGGAGAGTTGTGCAGATGAGAGAGAAATGTGTAAGAATGGTTGTGAACCACACATTCTTTACCAAAAATAGAAAGAGAAGATAAATTTGGGACGGACTGAAATGGAAAGAATGAAGATAATTTCGGGACAGAGAGAGTAATAGAATAACATTCTAACCTCTATGTATTCCCTTGCATGGGTGATGAGTAGATTCCATTTGAGCCATTATATTTTAGCAATCACCACATCATTCATACCATATTTGCCCAACACTACATGGATCAAACAGTGATTCCCATTGAAGAAGGAAAAAAAAAGGAAACATATTTCTTGGGCCAAAGTAACCATTGATAATCTAGTTTCTTATATTGTAGGGAGTATTGTGCATTCCCCCCTTGCATATTTTAATAATTGTATTCGTGTGTACCAAATAGAACCTAAGTCAATTTTTATTGGGTAAAATAAGAATATTTTTCCATTAGGGAACAGATGAAGACACTTTCGTCCTTGGAAATGGAGCTATCAGCTGCTAGACAGGAGGGTTTTGTTCCTAAGGAGTTATCAGACGTAAATGGTAATACTAAGAAAAGGCCGTTGGTTGTGATTGGGATTTTTACTAGCTTTGGGCACAAAAATGATAGAGATTCTATTCGCAAGGCATGGATGTCCACAGGTAGAGATCCACTTTCTCTTTGGTCTTGATATAGGCTATGCAATCCTTTAGGGTTGCCCATTGAATTTGTCTACACTTCTGATAATTAAGTGTTTCCAGTGCTCCTTTACCTGTTCCCTAGAATTAGAGATTCTCAAATATTTTACAATTATTGTGAGATCCAAATGTCCGGTAGTTGTGCAACTCATAGTATTCTTTTTTTCCTTACTTCTAAGTTCCAAGTTTGATATATATCACATTGTTGTGCTGCTCAGGTGCAGCCTTGAAAAAGATGGAAGATGAGATGGGTGTTATTGCCCGCTTTGTCATTGGCAGAAGGTGCATTTTCATTTTACGTTTAATTCTTAACACACCCTTTATTCTCTTTAAGTCAGTGCATTATTTTGAAATCTAAAGCTATGATGGCACATGTTGATGTACAGTTCAAATGGTGGGGGCAGCTTGGACAGAAGTATTGACAACGAAAACAAAGAAACCAATGACTTTTTCATTCTTGTGAGTCATTTTGCTAACTTGCCTTTCTTGTAACTATTTTGCAACTTTCTTCTTTATTTCCAAATGTTCGTTCTGTTTTTCTTCTATGCCGTAGATGGATTTTAGATCTTGAATAATCAGGCATTTCTGAGGGTAGTTGATGAAAACCAATTAAGGTTCATCATCATCAACAGCAAAATCGCTCTAATCCCCAGGCTTAAATATGCTTTTAGTCCTTGCAAATATAGCATTAAATTTTTATTGTTTCAATTAATAGTGTAAAATTAATCGGCATAGAGGCAATGTTTTAAAGCGTGTGCCCTTCCTGTCGCAACCTTTATAGGAAGGAATAATGTTGGAAATCTTAAAAGTTAAAACTGTCATCATCATAAGTTATTTTCACATACGTCGAAAATGTATGAGATGACAGAAAGCATTACTCTGATTCTTGGGATGAAATTCCAAGCAGTGGATTGAAATTATATGAATAAAGATGAAAGACCTCTTCCTACTCTGAAACAAGTGAGAGCCTGTTTATGTATTTTGCACTGCTACATTATATCATTGTCTTCCATGATCTCAAATTCTGTCATGGACAGGAAGACCATGTTGAGGCACCTGAAGAAATCTCAAAGAAGGCAAAAATGTTTTTTGCCCATGCGGCTGATAGGTGGATTGCTGATTTTTATGCCAAAGTAAATGATGATGTTTACGTAAATATTGGTATGGTCACTTATTCTTTGGCATCCCGAATTGTAGTCTAGTCACTGTAAAAGAATTAAACTAGAACTGGAGTCCCCTTTGATAGAAAACTTTTTCTGATTATTAGCCTTATAGGTGTATTTTCTACCAAGAACTAACTAGTTTGATTGTGCTGACCAAATTGGATGAGACAAAAAATGTCATTTCACCCTTAGTTTATTTTTATTTATTCTAAAAATATTTATAAAATAATTTACTAGATTATGCAGTCATTTTAGCCACAATTTTCTCAATTTCATACTTATGTCACTTCAACAATTTTAACCAAACTCCACCATTACCAACCAAATTCATTGTTCATGTTGGTATTATATTCTGTATGTGCGCAAGAGCTTCCCAGATACTCCCTCCACCCCGAAATAATTGTCTTTTTTGTTTGAGCACAAGTTTTAAGAAAGTGGTTGAAAAGGTAAAAGTTGTGCTTGAGATTTGAGTAGAAAAAGGGTAATTGATATGAGCCACTTATTATTGTCAAAAGAAGAAACAAGACAATTATCTCGGGACATCCCAAAAAGGAAAACAAGACAATTATTTCGGGACAGATGGAGCATTAATATTCCAAAGAGTGACTTCTGCTCTATATTTTTTTGTGCAGATGTCTTAGGGAACACACTTGCAACATATGTGAACAAGCCTCGCGTATATGTTGGGTGTATGAAGTCCGGTGAAGTCTTTTCTGAGAAGTGAGTTGACAGGGATACTTGCTAAGAAATTAATCTCGAGAACTTTAGTATTTTTGAATGGTTGTTTGATTCCATCTGTTTTGTAATTGGAGTACACTAATGCCTTGCCTTTTCTTGAAATTGGCAGGGGCCATAAATGGTTTGAACCAGATTGGTGGAAATTTGGTGACGGGAAAACGTAAGCAGCAGCTTGACACCTACTGTCTGCCATATTCAGTTTCCGCTATATATTCTTGAATATATTGGTTTTTATATGGAAATCTAAAAATATAGAAATGTGATAGGGACCTACCTATTAGAGTAATAATAGAAGTAATAATTCTGTTGGGGGGAATTGAGGGGGAATTGAGTAAGGCTTTTGGACATTCTGTCTTGGGACTGGGAAAGATCGGAGAATAATTCTCTCTATCTTTTGGGGGCTTCGGCTTATTTGGGAGGCTTTGGCCTTGGATTACTGTACTGTTCATCTTCTTCTCTAATAAAATCAGTTTGATTTCTTATTCTCTTTCTGGAATTTGTTCTGGAATCTTGGGGTTTCTATCATTGGTATCAGAGACTTCCTTCCTGGAGGCAAAAGGATCTTAATCGATTGAGAATATTCATTACCTGGAATGATGGAAGAATTCTGTACACCAGAAATGGAGGAGAGGTTGGATTCGCTGGAAAGGAAGATCGATAGAAGATGGAAGGAATTAAATGCGAAATTCGAGGAATCAAATGTGAAGTACGAGAAATTGAAAGCGATGATGCAGGCTGGCTTCGCCGAGATTAAGAACCAGAAGACAGATCGATCGAGGAAGATTAGGTCTCCTCCGCGACCTGACAAACCAGGTTCGTCTAACTCAGAGACATTGGAGGATCGATCGAGGAGCCTTAGATATCGTTCGTCGCAGTTGCTCACAAGTTCACAGTCGGAGTCGCGAACTACTTTTCTTGGCTCGCGATCGCGAAGTTATGATCACTGTTCACAGTCGCGCACTGTTTCTTCTCGTTCGCTACCGCGTAAGGCCTCCCTGGGTTCGCAAACCGACTCAACCGCGACCAAGTCATGTCCAAGAAAGACACGATTAAGAGGAGAATATTCCACTTCAACAGTCGATTATCATTGTTCGCGTTCTTCATATCAAGTTGCTTCTCCAAGTTCGCAAGCAATTTCTTCCGGACCTCTGGTTTCTACGCAAGCAGAAGACTCCAGCTTGAAATCTCTATCTGAGTCACTACAATCGGAGCAGGAGTTGGGTAACCTGAAGCAACCGTACACGGAAGATAGACACACCTATGGCGACAAGGCATTCAAGGAAGAATCGTCAGTTAACGTTGAAATTGAAGCTGGTACAGTTGCTGGATTTTCAAAAGTTTACAATTACGATCTTGACCAGTCAGACTTTGAAATCAATAGGTTCAAGTTTCTTCAGATAGGAGATATTTCTTCTCATCTGGTACAGCAGATGAACTGGCCAAATGTCTTCAACACTGAAATGATGTGTTGTCAGTCATCCAACATTACGTTAGAAGGATTGAACAAGTTTGACAGTCTTATAGTGGAAGGGTTACTTCTATGAAGAATTTAAAAAAAAATTGGTGAATGATGTGTTTATGGACAAGTATGTTGCTGATTCTGACAGCCAAAATCAAGTTTTAGCGGGTAAAATGGGGGTAATAGTCCAGGGTATCTTGGCAGGGCAATTGGGAAAGAATGATCCACAGATTTGTGCATTTGAAGGATCAGTCTGTCCTCACTCCAATGTCAAAGCTAGGATGGAAGATAAGGGCTGTAGTTTGATGCTTTATGCAAGTTGGAACTCCTCAGATTTTGGATTGAAGTGGACAAAATTTCAGTTGGGTGGAATCAAGAGGATTCTGGACTCTCCTATTCAGGCTTCTATACTTGATGCCTCTAAGATAGATTACCCGATGGTTTTATCATTAAAACCAGAAAGTGTTCAAAAGCAAGTAGTTGTTGATTTTTGTGTTGCAGCAGGCTGTGCCTTATTTCCCACAGAATCTGAAAGTATCCAGCTCCTGGAAAAAATGTGGGAAGAAAAACCAAGGTTACAACCAAAGAGGCAGATGTTAGGATATTATATCCTTTACAACATTAAGAAGCATTATGCCACCAGGTCTTTGCATCTGTGTATATCTGATGTTAAGTACATGTGGAAAAAGATGGAAGTAATTAAGCTACAGGTCCAGCAGTCTGTCAGATATTGGGAAGGGAGAGGCGCCAGGATGAAGAGGAAGCGGAAGATTTTGGCTGCTTCCTATCACCCACCTTGAGGGCAAGGTGGATGTTTAGGAGGGGAGTATTGATAGGGACCTACCTATTAGAGTAATAATAGAAGTAATAATAATAAGTGTATTAGTTTAGTATAAATAGAAGATAGTGAGGAGGAATTGAGTAAGGCTTTTGGACATTCTGTCTTGGGACTGGGAAAGATCGGAGAATAATTCTCTCTATCTTTTTGGGGCTTCGGCTTATTTGGGAGGCTTTGGCCTTGGATTACTGTACTGTTCATCTTCTTCTCTAATAAAATCAGTTTGATTTCTTATTCTCTTTCTGGAATTTGTTCAGGAATCTTGGGGTTTCTATCAAAATGAAACTAAAAAAGGAAAATAGTCAAATACTTGCATACCCAGTCATTGAGGCATCTTTATTTATGAAACCACTATTTTTTTGCATTTCTATATTCTGTTTTTTTTTTTGCATTTTTATACTCTGTTTTGTTAGTGTTTTTTTTTTGTTTTTATTTTTATTTTTAGGACAAACTAATGGAATGAGTTTCTGTCAGTGCTGGAGTTCACTCTTGAATGTCCCTACAAATTTGTGCTTGTTTACTGCAAAAGTACATTGAATGGCATAGTACCCTATATGCAAGTATACAATCTGAACATAGAAAAATTCTTAGGTGAATTATGGCATTGTTCTCCTTACCTTACTTTTTTGCTTATTACTTATTCTTATCTTAATCAGACTGGACCAAAATTAGAAAGATTCAGACAAGCCTGGACCGGAAAGATTCAAATCATACTAGATCACATGTTAGATTTCCGACAAGAAAATTAGACAAGAGCATAACCAATTAGAACAGACCAAACCAGAAACACTCAAACTAGATCAGATCTCAAAACAATCAGATCAATGATCAGACACATTTTTTCCGGTGAAGAGAACTGGTCTTAAGTCTGTGATGTCTATTAATCAATTAGTAAATAAGGGGATCCCATCTGTAGCAATATATTAGTGCATGACTGGTTCCTGTTGATTTTGTCTATGGATGATATGGTAGAGTCAACTGACGATTTGTACCCTGAACTTGCACAAGATGTTGGTTTTATAGTCTGAAAATTTGATTTGTCATATATTATTATTATACAAAATCCTGAAATGAGTTTAATGTGGTTATTCTTCTCCATTGGCAATTTGTACTCAGGTATTTCCGTCATGCTTCTGGGGAGATGATTGTTATATCACGAGCATTGGCTAAATACATATCGATAAATAGGTAATGTTCTCTTTTTCCCACCACCATATTAAGACAAGTATATGCTGACATTTCTAATGTGCAGATTAATTCTTCGTACATATGCACATGATGATGTCACCGTTGGGTCTTGGTTCATTGGTGCTGATGTCAAGCATGTGGATGATAAGAAGTTTTGCTGTTCTTCTTGGTCCGCAGGTCTATATTCTTTGCTTATCTTCTCTTTACAAACATGCAACCAAACCCCAGAGCTGAGCTGCTGAATGTTGTTTGTTCGCAGGGTCCATCTGTTCGGGTGTATAACCTTTCTAACTTGAGGATATTTGAAACTTTATACCTGAAAGAGATTGGGTCAATATTGGGACTTGGAGAATTATACTCAGACCAGTCTCAGATATGATATTGGGACTTGGAGAATTATACACACAGATGTATAGCCATCATATGTTCATTGAAAGTAGCGAATTGCGAGGTGACATACAACGAAACCGTTCCTTATGTTAGTTGTGTAGTTGCTTTAGAACTATGGGATTTTTAAGTGGCAGATAAGTACATACTTGGTTAATTACCCTGGTCATTCTTGCCAGTTCAAGTGTACGCTCAAAACTATCAAATATAATAATTACATAAATATGAGCCTTTTGTATTGGTACTTGAGGTATTATTGCAAGCAAACCTAATGTCACACATATATTTACACAACTGATTTATAATTCGAGGTCTTTGGGGTATAATTTGAATTGTTTATAGGACATTTTTTTTTTAGTAAAAAAGAGACAAATCAGCCCATTTAGGGGTGTTTGGTGATTTTTTTTTAGAAATTTTTGCCTTAAGTGGGACTAAATTGTTTCTAAAATTCTTAAATGGGACCATGTATATTTTTATTCCCCAAATAAGACCAAATTACACATTTACCCTTATTTTTCTTCCTCCTTAATTCCCTGCAGCCGCACACCTACATCATCGCATCATTCTTACTGCGCATCTCCCCTCCCCTGGCCTGCGCATCATCATCTTCCTTGCGCATCACTCCCTCTCTTTCGCCTTCGCACAGTAACAACAACTCAGAATCCATAGCCATAGCAGCCGCCACCAAGTCCGCCGCCGCTTCGGGACACCGAACTTTCTTCTCCATGGGTTGGTTATCTTCTATGGTTGGTCTCTCCGTACTTTCTCCTCTTCTTCTCTAGTTCTCTCTCCCCATGCTCTGTTTCTTCTTTGATTGTTACGAAATGCAAAATTAAAATTTGATTGTTACGAAATGCAAAATTAAAATTTGTTACTGCCATTAAAATGGCATTCTAAGTCTTCAAAAATGTTGTATGTTCTTGTAAAAATGCCATTAAAATGGCATTCTGAAAAAAAATCTTGGCATTCACGTTGGTAAAGACCAGATCTGCATCTGAGGAGGTCAGTGTTGCAGCAGCTTATGCCGGATTAGTTGTGACGATAGCTGGATCATCGGGGCAGCGGCGGCCGGCCGGCGGAGGCTAGATCTGGCCAGATCTCCGGCAACTCCAGCCAGATCTGCATCAGCGATGGTCAGATCTGCAACGACGACCAGTTTTTGAGGCGACAGGGGTGCCCGGCGACTGGCGGTGGCCGGCGGCGGCCGGCGGTGGTCCGGTATTCTGAGCAGCGGCAGTATACCTCCAAGCTTAAGGGTCTTTGTGTCCAATTACAAATAATAACTCCTATTTAGGGAAGTTTTAGGCTTTAGTCCTATTTTGGCAAATAAAAATTAATTTACTCCTACTTAGGTAAATACCTCTTTTTTTTAGTATATTCAGGCTTATCAGTCCATTTATGGTCCTTCAAACGGCCACTAATTTTCCAATGTCAAATATAGTTTCCGTTTTACGGTTACTGGCAGTCTGGCAGGATATCAAAAAATTTGGATTTAGTTGTGGAAAAATTGAAAATAATAATCCCAACTATTGTCGGTCCGCTGAAAATAATCCCAACTATTGATTATTTTTGTATAATCCCAACTATATAGACTATCCGCCAATAATGGTCCATGACCATATATTATCTCTATAAAAAGTGAATTTTAAATAGAAATTAAGTGTAAAAATTAATAGTTGAGATTATTTATAGGGATTACTTGTTATATCTCATCTCATCCACTTTAGAAACTACAAGAATTTATTCATAGGGACCATTATTGGCGGAAGGTCCCTAAAGTTGGGATTATTCTGTAATAATCAATAGTTGAGATTATTATGAGCAGACCACTAATAGTTGGGATTATTACTATCAATTTTTCCTTTAGTTGTGGTTGTAGAGGTTTTCCATCTAGTGGTAGAAGGGATTGACATAGTGTGGGATCAGAATTGGAATTGGAGTGAGATCATTTTCTAGAAGCTAAAGGGTGAAATAAGCCCTTGAACTAACTTAAAAAGTGCAAATCATCCACCGTCATTTGGGGCGGTTCCCGGTGGATTTTTTTGATACCACCGGTATCATCCATCGTAACTTATGTTCAACTTTTTAAATTAAGCTACCACGACACTACATTGTATTAACTATTAGTTATATTTGTGTAAATAAATTTATTATAGTACAACCAATGTTCTAAAAGGCGTTAGGCGCTAGTCGGGCGTTAGCCCAGTGCCTAGCGCCTAGACGGTTAGGTGGGCACCTAGGCGGTTAGGCGGGCGTCTAGTCGGGGACTAGTCGGAGACATATAAATTGCATTTTATCTATATTATTGTATAAATATGTTAAGTAATATTGTATTTTTGTGTGTATAAAATACATATATACACTTACATAACATGAATGATAGAATTATCACATTTAATCATACGTAGTATATGATAACTAATCATTTAACTTCATTATGTTATAAATATAAATAATAATAAAATTTAGGTATATATACAAACATTTAGAGTTTTTATCTAAATTTACAACTTCTTTTTTTAATATTTGTGGCTAAAGTTAAAGTACTTATATCGTTTAGAAAATAAATATTAAAAAGTAAAGTAATGTTGACGAATCTAGACGACTTAGGCGGCTGATTAAGCGCTCTGGGCGGGCAACTAGGTGTCATAAGCGGCCGACTAATTCACCTAAACGGTAAATCAATTAGTCGGAGCGCATAGATGAAAATCGGGGCGCCCGGCCACCGCCTAGTGCCTAGGCGGGGACTAGTCGGACGCCTAAAACGATTTTTAGAACATAGAGTACAACCAATCTTTTTTTACGCTTTTGCGCTTTATAGCTTCGTACCAGACTTCTCCGATCTTGCTTTGCATAGGATTTCGCTTAGCTTTCTTCAATTTGATTTCGCACCAGGCAGACTGCTCATCATCGCTCTTCCCCTCAAGCACGGACGCCCTCCTTCTGCGCAAGAGACTATGGCTCCTGGGGATCTTCTTTGTTGGTCGGTGCTGCGAGAAAGAGAAGTACGGAGGTGACAGGTTGAGGGATGATTTAGGAGACTCAATTCATACTTCTTTGTTGAGGAATATCGAATAAGTTTATATTAAACTCAAATGTGTATGTGCTTAAAAGGAATAAACATACACAAATGAATATTGATCACATTGGAAATGAATTTTATGTTAAACTCAAATGAGTATAAAGCCCAAAATGAATGAGCATACATAAATGAGCTTTTGAATTTTGTGATATTCATTTTGTAAGTTATGTATGCTCATTTAGTACCTCTTTATGTTCATTTTAAAATTTTAAAATTCTCCACATTTCATACGTATCATGCTATATTAGATTCACATATTGAAATTAATTACAATTGATTACAAACATAATTTAAAACTTTTTGGCAAACGAAAAAATAATACTCCATAAAAAGAAAACGAATTAGAAGATATGAAGCAACACTTATGCTCATTCTTAGATTCCTAATACTCAAAAGAACAGAATTTATGCTCAACAAAATTGCGTTAATGCTCATTCAAGAGAAACTGTGTTTTTCACTAAGGATGTTTTTACTTGGACTGGAATTTGCCCAGACCAGACCAGACCAGTTCAGACCAGACCAAACCAGACTTGGATAGTTTTAAAAATACAAAGAAACCAGACCTTACCAGACCAGACCAGACCAAACCAATTCAGAGCAGACCAGACCAGCAAATTACAATCCAAATAAAAAATGTCAACGACCGCATGGGAGATAGCATACAACCGAGTATAGAGCACTCTATATGCTTCCCCCACCCACAGCCTACTTCCACGGGGGATTATTTGGGTGTGAACGGCAACTTCTGTTCCAACAGTTGAACATCTTTGGGTGAAAATTGCATCTTCCTCCCCCCGGTTACTCCCTAGTCCTGAGCCATATCCTTCTCCACGAAGTCTCTTCCCTCCTCTGCAGTCAAATCGCGTTCAACGTGAGATGGACTACGATTACAGGAGCAGGGCAGGAGCTGGTTACGATTCTCAGTTGCCCATGTACGGACGGTCTTCTTCAACCGCTACGCCGCCCTCCCATTCTCATCCGATGTATGCACCGCCGAGCCAATCTCATAATACGCCGGCTTCCTACCCTAGGTTCGCTCAACATCTGGTCAACAATCTTACCGGTCGGAATCCTTCGGCCTCTTTCCATCACCCCTCATCTCTACCTTCGTCCAGTAAGTCAATCTACCTCTCTCATCCCTTATGTTAGATGAATATTTGTGTCTGAACCGATGTCTTTAGTCTTTACCTGCGGTTCATCAGTATTTTGAATTGTCCAGACATGATTGTATTTATCATGCGATTTTTCCTAGCTAGATGTAATTTGATGCATTTTTGCTTCCCGATAATTTGCAGATGGAGTTGGCATTAAAGTTGCCATAAAGCCGGAGTACCGAATTACACCTCCGGTATGATCTTTATTAACATGAACTATGAAGCTTGATTGTTTTGCCTATAAAGCCACCTTACTTCACTATTACTACTAATAACATACTTCGTATTTCACAGTCAGGGGCGGAGCCAGAAAAATGACTCAGCGGGGTCGAAATCAAATTTACATAGAATCAAAACGGTAGATTATTTTTAGACAATACCCGGATTGAATGTAGCTTAAATAAATGATAGTTTAAATGAAACTAATAGAGTATATGTAGTTAATATACTTCGTATATGTCACATATATTATAAACTTGTTTTATACGGGTTGAGTTGAGTACCTATACCCATTGTCTTACCCTAGTACTCTATGGTTCTCTTCGATCTTACTCGGTTTAGTATCAAGATTTCTTACTAGAAAAGAATCATTTATTGAGTAGGCACTCATAGTAGTAAGATATGTTGTCTCTGTCCCTAAGTCATGTCACGTAAGTAACGAGTGAATTACACGCTATTTTGTGAATATAATTAATATTACGCATCACAATTTTACTAATTTCAAACTTAAATAGTGCTGATTTTGCAGAAGTCATAACTTTTTACTCGTAATGAGTTACGAGAGTCATAGTATATCAAATCGAAAATATTTCAGAGCTCTACACTCTTAAATTTTCAGCGGGGTTGGCTGACCACCCTGACCCCTAGTAGCTTCGCCCCTGTTCACAGTAACATTTTAATCGATGAGGCTTTTACAGCCTTATCTTGTACAAGATTAGACACGTGCCTAATCTTTTACAGCCTTATAATACCTAATTTGAAATGTATAGAGTACTCCCTCAATAGCCTTGGTACATCAGTTGCGGTGTTGATGTGTGAATGAGAGGTCATGGGTTCAAGCCTGGGGAGTGGCCTTTTGACAAGGAATGTTGCCCCTATTAATCCTTGAGGTGGGACCTTTCCCCCCGGACCCTCTCCTTGAGGGGACGCCAATGTGCAACAAGATGCCCTTTTAAAATCCACCCTCAGTCCCATAATTTCCTTAGAATTTTCTAACGATACAAGTATACAATATCAATTTTCCATCATTTGCAATGGAGCCAAAGACTCATTTTTTTGGCTTGAGAATATGATGGATAAAGAAAAATGACTCGCTAAACTTTCTGTGCTTCTTTGTTATGAAGCAGCAGTCAGTTCATGAAATTTTGGATGCAACTTTCACTATGAGTCATCCGGAATCAGTCTCTCTTTGCTTTAGTACCGTGGGTAAGACTGCGTACATCCGACCCTCCTTACCCCACCGTATTTGGGAGTCTTTGCGGCACTGGGACAATTGAAAGGAAACTAAAAGTTTGTTTTGGGAGAACCCTTAAGGCCTTAAGAAAAGTGGGATTTCTATTTTGGAGGGAATATCATTTTAAATTATGTCTGGTATTTGTATAAATATACAAAAATGTGGTGTCTTTACCAATAAACAGCTAACTAAATGCGTCAGGTAGCGCCTGTAGCCTCTATGCCTAGTAAGCCGGAGCCTAGACTGTCTACTGCGTGTCTAGGGTGTCTTGTTGTCCCAATTTTAGTTCTAAGTTACTTACTATATATTTTATTTGATCTGTGCTTTTCTAATTTAGAGGTTAGTTGTATTATTTCTACTTGTTATTCCCATTCTGTTGTCGCTGTGTCAATCCTTTGTCTGGTTATATGTAGCCACAATTGTCCTCACAAATCAGAGATATTCCTCGTAGTTCTTTCCAATTTGATTTTGATTTCGAGAAGAAGATTTTGGCAGAAGCAGAGAAGGATACCCAAAATTGGAGTGGGCTTGTTGGGCCAGAAAGTGTTCTGACACAAATGCCTGAGCAGACTTCTCAGGTGAGTTCTTATCTTTTGCTTATGATTGTTCCTTTTGGGTTTGAAAGCTGCCTTAGCACATCTATGTTCGTTTTCATGTGATGTGTGTTTTCTCGCACTTAAAGTAGGTGTAGTAGTAAAGCACTGAAGTACGAATATCGTCCCCACAGGAACATAAAATGGAATTAACTCAATTAAGTGCTAATTTATTTTCAGTGATTTCGAAAACAAGAAATTAAAGAAAATGATTGTGCGAGCTTTGATTTAGTTAACGAGCAGTGAAAATTGAATTAAATTAACGATTAACTGAAAGAAGAGAGCAGAGATTGATTCCGATGCGTAAAGATCTAGGTGAAAAGATTGGGGTTGATTACTATATATTCATATGATTGAGCAACACTATCAATATTAGATCCTTACTGCTCTCACAGTGTAGAGTACAATGATTTCGAGAACAAGTAGGAGCCGTCAAGATGGGCCGTAACCCGCGGGCTGGTCCGTTTCAACCCATTTATTGATGAGTTAGGGTTATCATTTTCTGAACCGATTAATTCAGGGGTTTCACAGGTCAACCCACGCGGGTTGCAGGTTAAGCGGGTTAGCCCACACAGGTTTTGTGACCAAATAAATATGAAGATTCCATGATTTAATGTGTTTTTAACTGTTGGCTGCGTCACAAATTGGTATGCTAGATTTCGTTAGACCTATAGATAAATTCAAAAATACTGCTATAATTGTTTATTTACAATAGTTATACCTTCCTAAAATTATAAAGTTATATGTTGTTGAAACAGAACAAGACTCCTTTTTTTTGGTATGGAGGTAGTAGTAACTAGTAAGTAAATAGAACAATTTTTAGGTGTAGTTCTAAAGCTTCCTGTTACGTATGTGTGCCTATGATTTTTCTTGATTCATTCTTGGTCTATAAATTTGAAGCTTCTCACTTAAGGTTTGTTAATAGTGCAAGAATCATTATTATTAAAGAATATATCAATGTGTTGTGACAATTGGTTTTAGTTTACTGTTGAAGCAATAATTTCCAACTTCGAGTAAAATTACCATCATATACTTGAATCCACTTCTGATGAATTTGTTTGGATGTTTGACATCACAAATTTGTGTTTGAGTGTGTAGCCATTTAATCCTTATCCATCTGTTAAACAACAAAGCAGGATGGTATAAATCCTTTGTATGTCTTGACAAATACAGTCACGATATCATTTAATGGCTGGCTTGTGTATGACATGTTTCTCCTGTTAAATGTGGGTTCTTTCATTGCTTTCTCTACCATTTCAGATTTAAAGTGAAATTTGTTCCTTACATAAATGTGTAGGGTTCTTCTGGAGATGCTATTGCAAACAAATACATTGCTTCAGGTCTGAACAGAGATGTTGTCCCTCTCGCCATTGCAAACTTTGGGGACAATCCAACCAAGGTACGTCTCTTGTGTGTGTTTACATACTAAATTGTTTCATATTGAGTTATTAACTATTCCATATCATTGTAGGAGGGACTCGCTTTTAACATTTTGAGTGTTGAAGCCATTACATTTTTCCTCCAACAGTATAATTCACTAATTAACTTTTATACTGTTATTTATTTTGATGAACCAATGTCAAATGTGTTGCAGTTAGCTAATGAGGGATGTGAGGCATCTTTTTGTCTAACATTTTAGGGCTCACTTCTTACTATGGAGATCAATTAATAACCATTTTTTGTAACTTGCCGTTACGAAGCAATCCATTCTCAATTTTTGTAAGCTTGGCATATTTGTAATTTGTTTTTAGGCACACACATCCACTACATTGAAGAGTTCTATATATATTGAGTCATAAGGAACAATTTTACATTTCTTACCATGTATTCTGTGTCCAAATTACATTTTTTCCAAGTGGTATGTTGCACATGTGAGAATACAGATGAGTGTAGATGGCCTATTTGAGAATAAAAGATGGTACCCAGTTTCCCAAACTAGGGGACAAGGGGGTGATTAATTTGAAGAAACTTGACGTGGTTTCTGAGTCCTGTTGGTGCTCAGGTTTCTGGAAATGCATCTTTTGTCTTGGGGTTTGCTAGTTATGAACATATTTAAACCATTTTGTTTTGGCATTTCGGAATTTTTGCACTAGACGAAAACATTCAAAATTTCAGATTTCTCTCAAATTGATAATCCTTGCTCAAATAACCGTTTTCAGGTCCGCGAATTTGAGGATCATTACAATCGCCTGAGAGATATGGGGTTCTCATCAAACTCTGTTGGAGAAGCCCTACTCATGTTTGACAATGACACAGAGAAGGCTTTGGCCTACCTCCTTAACAGTACTTCTTGAATTGTATTACTTGGTTATGCTTATTTATGTAAATGAAATTGGTTTGTACAATCAGATACCTTTTAAAGACAAGTCTTCTCCCTTCTTACAAAGTTACAAGGAACTGTGGTTACTCAATGAGTGAAAAATCCCAAGAGTTTGTAAGTGAAAAATGTGAACTAATTATAAGTTCCTAACCAAAGACTTCAAAAGTAAATAAATTGATCCTTTTTTAAGTTCAAAATGTAGTGACTTTATTGTACGTAGTAACTATGAAGAACTTTGAATAGAACTATGCTGATAAAAGTGTATCATTTTATAAATGAGATACATATGTATATTATAAAAGTGCTTCAATATATATTAAGTGTCAAATAATATGTGAATAACTTTAAAAGTGTTAAAACAATTATAAACATCAAATGATACACTTTTTATGCATATAATGAAAATAGTACAAAAAGTTGCACATTAAAATTTCAATAACTATCAATAGAGTACTTGAAAGATTAAATATGTTGATATATGGTCTCAATGATTGAAAATATCAATAAAAAACCTAAACAGTTATGAACTTTAATATTTTTATTTTATTAAACTATTAAACTTTTGTGAAGAAAAATTCATCAAAAATTAACAACGCAATTAATACAAAATTAAATAAATAAAAATCATTATATTTTAGGTCTTTGATTCCTACATACATGAGAGAGTTATAATAAGGATGTTTTTACTTGGATTGTAATTTACCCCAGACCAGTCCAGACCAGAACAGTTCAGACTAGACCAGACCAGACTTGGATAGTTATAAACATACAAAGTAACCAGACCTTACCAGACCAGACCAGACCAGTTCAGACCAGACCAGATCAGACCAGCAAATTACAGTCCAAGTAAAAACATCCTAAGAGAGTCTAAGTCTCTAAGAGCTCATCTTACAATGAGAATTTTTAGTTTTCATTTTACGTTTTATTCAACCATTAGTTAGCACACACATAATGCGTTCATGTAATTATTCAAAATTTAGATGTGATTATTTATGTAATCATTGTAAAAATTACAAAATATTCACATTGTTAACACTATCTATGGATTATAAGTACTTCTATAAAAGGCAGTGATTAAAAATTCTCATTCATAAACGTGTTTTCATTTTAAAATGAGTTTTCAGTATGTATGTAGTAAGATCCCAGTAAAAAACCTTCCTACATGGAGATAAAAAGAGAAATTAGGCGCAAAGCAATAGAGTCGGAAGAGACAAAGTGCAGCGCGTAATATCTGAACAAAATTTTATTCTCTCTATCTCATAAAAGTTAACCAATTTAACTTTTTTCGGTCAAATATTATAATCTGTAGAGAATGATCATCGTTAGAGTTAATCATAATTCTAGGGACCAGACTATGTCCACTTCTTAATTTTAGGGAATGGAGTTTTGTATTTTGAAGATATTCAAGATAAATCTTTGGAGCTTATATTAATATAATATTTGCCACTCGCTTACAATCAGTCATAGAAACAGACGCCTTTGCAAGAATGTTGGCTGCTTGAACTGAAAATTAGCTTTATCTTCTAGTTAACTTTTAATGTCCTCGAGAATTACTCCCGCTTGAGAATCATACTTCACCCCATGCTACAAAACGCGTTATGGAATCCGGGGTAGTAAATCTTGAGAGAAGTTAAAGCAAAAGTAGAGAGATCAAACTATATAAATATTTTAGCAGAATGGCGGTACACGAATTTTAGATGCCCTTCCCAAAGGGGAAAACCTGCTATTTATAGGCGAACATTAGGTCTGAAACTTAATCTAAAAAAGGCTAAAACTACTCATAAAGCTACATGTGTTCCTGAAATACTTGGGGGACGAGTATACGATGTCATGCTAATATATGATGATGTCAGCCCTGTCAACAGACTGGTGATGTCATTGATGACGAAAACCCTTTCAGAGATTGAGCCTCTGACGTCAACGAGAGTGCTAGTGACGTAAGCCCTAGATATACGTCTTGCTAGAATGCCCTAAGGAAGAGGGCGGACTGTAAGGGTTTGGCGTGGGTGGTGCGGAATGGAGCAGAAACTTTTCTCACCGGAAGTGCCAGTATTCGACTTGCAAAATGTCTTCCAAGGGAGGCTGAGGCGCCATCATTTCTATCAATGAGGGAGGCTCTTGATATGGAATGTGATGCATTTGAGTTCGTCATTCTGGATGATTGTTAGCGATATGAAAGAAAAGAAAAACCAGCATCTATTCCTAGCATTAAATTTATGGGGAAGTTTGACTTTGCACTCCACTTTTTGGGTAATATTGGACTTTGCGCCCCATTTTGAACTTTGATTTGCACCCCAACACACAACATTTTGTGAAGAAAAATTTCTGAATGGGGTGCAAAGTCAAAGAAATTTTAAGTGGAATGAGATGCAAAATCAAAGTATTTTGAAAATGAGGTGCAAAATTTAATATCACCCAAAAAGTGGGGGTGCAAAGTCAAATTCCCCCTAAATTTATTCATGTGAGGCGATCAGTGAATCGCGTAGCCGATGATGATTTATCAAAGGTTTTAGGTTCTATGTCTAGTTGTTAGGTTTGGTATAACATTCCACCAAATTATACTCTGGCATCCTTGAACCATGATTTCATTAAATCTAAGTTGAATTGGTTCTTGTAAAAAAATTATACGATAAGAGAATTTGGGGGGGAGAGTTTTAACATATCATGGATCAAAAACTAAATAATCATTTATTTAGTTGTTGATGGTTGATACTCATTTGCTTTATTTTTGTTTAATGCATAGAGATTACGTAATCTAAATTTCTTAATCTCTTAATATCTAAAAGTAAAAAAAATCTTGCTAAAGGAGTTCACGCTAACATATATCAACATAAAAAAAGCAATATATTCTCTCTTCTCTTCTCTTCTCTTCTCTTCTCTTCTCTTCTCTTCTCTTGATTACAGATGAGTTTGGCATTTCATTCCAAACTAAGCAAGAAAAATTTCATAAGTAAATCTCAAAAATGGTAGAGATAGGAAAAACTCAAGTATGCCCAAGATGTATCAAAAGAAAGTCTACCTGATTTCTAAAATAACACCCACCCACCCACCCACTCTCCCCCCACCCAAGTACCCCATCCCCCCCCCCCCAAAAAAAAAAAAAAAAAGAAAAAGAAAATCACTCCACTGCTTCTACCACCATACGTAGTTAACAACTTTTCCTTGCTTCACACCACAGCAGCAGGTTTTAAAAAATATGAATACATATACAGATCAAGCTGCAGCAGACATTGTTATGCCTATAAGGTTTATGTGAATATGTTCGGACTGCCTACACCAAATAAATTGTACCCCTTTTTCAACAATCAGACTAATTTATTTTGAGATTCATCTTAAGATCCATCAATGAATTCAATCAATTCATGAGGGAAAAATCCAGCTTCACAAATAGGGGTACAAGTGGGTATCACATATGAGTAATAATTCAGTGTCTCTCAACCATCACCGGCCTGACAACTGGTAATACTTATGTGACACTTTAAGTATGGGGACTAATAGAGTATATTACGGAGTATATATTTAAAAACAAAAATCAAGAGCCGGTACTTGATTTTTGTTTTTAAATATGGGGACTAATAGAGTATATTATGGAGTATATCAAGAGCCGGAAAAATGTAATACCGTTCCGTTCTTGATTTTTGTTTTTAAGTATGGGGACTAATAGAGTATATTACGGAGTATATAGAACCTGTCCCGTTCCGTACCAATTTTCAGTGTGGTTTGGTACGGTTCTCCGGTGTTATTTGATTCCTAAGTAATTAACCCCCATGAAATATAATTAACCCTATTTACGTAGCATTGTTTATATCATTTAGTATTGTTTTTGTTTTAAAGCTAACTTTTAGTGCTGTCAAATCGTAATAATTGGATTACGCCCAAAGAATTTGCAAGATTGCATATTTGTAATATATGGACATACGGTCTGACATTTATACTCGGTAATATATTATATACTGATAGTATAAAATATTACTCCGTACGTAGTATTATATTATAACACTAGTTTTCGGGACATATGGTCACCAACATTTATACTTCGGTAATATATTATATATAATATATTATTATATTATAACACTAGTTTCGGGACAATTCGGGACGGTACGAGAAGGTTCGGTTCAATACGGTTCCGGGACGGTTCTCACTAAGAACCGGTACCGTACCATATTATTAAAAAAGTTTGGTACGGTACGGTATTACATTTTTCCGATTCTTTCGGTTCTGGAACGGTACAGGACGGTTCTTCGGTACAGAACAGGAATTCCCAGATCCGGGGTTAGCCCTAGTTTTGATGGCCTATGTAGGCATAGAGTTCTTGACATATACAACCATCTTCACATTCCAAAGGATCCAATTTGTTTTTGCCCATATCCAAAAACATGTTCCACACAAATGCAACATTTCCCATACATGTGTTGGTGACAGCTGACAAAAGGCTAGCCATTGTCCAAGCATCCGGTTTCAGACAGAAGAAGTTCATTTGCTTGCAAACCTCTAATCTATGAAGCACCGATATGGATACGCGGAAACGCGGAAACTGGTACGGGGATAAGACAAAATAATAAAAAAGTAGGATACGGACACGAGACCATATTTATAAATATTAATGATTATGAGGGTGTATTTATAAATATTAAAAGTTACAGGGGTGTATTTATAAATATTAAAAATACAATTTTTTTTTGAAAAAAATAGACATATATTTTCCTCTGACGTCTACTCATTCATGGCATTGAAGCATTTTACATTTTCATGATACTTAGAAATAAGTTCATATTTTATCTCATATACCCTAGTGCACCTCGAAATACAATCATATCAATAAGTCATTAATTTAAAATGAAATAAGTCAAACAACTACAATTTTGAAATTAAAAGTGCAAGTACTCAAATTTCTAGAAAAATGAAGATAGAAAACAATATTTTAAAAGTTCTAATACATATTGTCCTTGGAGCTATTAATTTCCAGGGATAATTAAATTGGGGATAGAAAGATGAGTGAATTAGGAACATGCCTATTAGTTGTGTTCCACATAAAAGCAAGAGAATTATTTTTAGTTTTTCATTTTTTAACAATTCTATTACGGAGTATGTAAATTTTGAGTGTTTTTTTAAAAAGTCTTTTTTGGAAGATTTTTTTTTAAAAAGTTGATAGAGATACCCGTCAGGATACGAGTATCCGAAATTTTAAAATAATTAACAAAAGAATTGGAAACTTTTAAAAATTGCAGATACAGTCTGGGAACGTACGGTACGGGTATCCTCAGATACGAGAACGTTTCCGATATGCTGATACGACACCCTAGGGAAATATCCGTGCTTCATAGCCTCTAATGCATCATCAAAGCTTCCATTTTGAGCATATCCCACAACCATTGAGTTCCAAGAAACAACATCCCTTGGAGGCATTTCATCAAGAACTCGCCTATTCTCAGCCAAAAACCCACACTTCCCATACATGACCACGAAACAGTTCCCTGTATATAAATTTGAATCAAGGCCATTCTTTACAATTGGGCCGTGAAGTTGCACCCTAACAACACATTCTCAGAGACTGAACACGCTTTGAGAATGCACGGAATGGTATAACAGTCAAGCCAAATAGTATCCGCGGACATGCTTTTTGAAAAGAAAAATACCATCTTGATGAAACCGGTTGTTGGCACAGCTTCTGATCATCACATTGTAAACCCACGACAATTTTTAATGGGAATTTTGTCAAATAGATACCGTGCGGATGCGGTATTAGTATGGCCACACTTGCTGGCATCAATTTGGATGGACGTGTTTGGGCATAGGGTTGGGGCAAAGATGATCCTGGAACGAATTTGGCCTAATGTCTTGATATATGGGATTTCGTCTAAGATTAGACTGAAAAGATCTTTGGGCGTTTGGTTGGAGGGTAGGAAGTCAAGTTCGTGTCATTCGATTCGATGTTGTAAAAACAGAGGGAAGGGGAAGTGAGGAGACGAGGGATAAGTGTGGATCAGAGATCACTGCAGGGAAAGAGATCAGTCTAGACTCCGAAAAACGCGATGATTAAGGGACGCCCAGGCATATGCCGTATGCGGTCTTAATAGAGGAAGGTAGAAGATGGGTGATGAGAACGGGACGGCGGCGCAGCCGTTGAAGAAGGGCGCCCGTACAAGGGCGGCGACTGAGAATCCTGACTCCAAAGAAGCTCCTGCCCTGTTCCTGTAATCGTCGGACTAGACTGGGCGCGATTTGAAAGGAAGGGATTTGGTGGAGAGGATAACGATATATTATCCTCGGTCTCTTTTTAATCGCAACATGTTGAATTTTACACTAATCACATGTTCTACTTTGACTACATTTTATATTATTATTTTATGAAAATTATTTTTTTAAAATTATATTGCTCAATTAATCTCATTACAAATTTTCAAAATCTAATTTTTAAATATTTTTTACTAATAGGGATTAAGATATAATTACGGTCAAAGATGTGCGTTGACAAGTGTGAAATGTTGACCGTTGCAACTAAAAAAGAACGGAGGAAGTACTTCACTATGTATGCATTTCCCACACGGTAAACATATACCCATTCAATACCTAATATATTGCGCCTCCAAAGTTAGAGGTTACGTTTGTTTGGTGCATTCACTATTTCAATGCAATGAATGCACATAAAATAGCTGTGCTTGTCTAACATGGTAGAATATGGGTATAAACTTTCTATAAGGAATATATGTATGTCTCTTAGAGAATCTATATGCCCATATTGTACCATGTTGCACATTCACTATATTTTCTCATACCAACTTTTTATCATTTTGAATTCTTGAATCAATAATACATTCAATTTTTTATATTTCAACCTTTTTTTACTTAAATTCTAAATTAGTGAATGAATGATATTTGACTTTATTTAAATATAACATTTAATTCCACAAGTATTGTTGTACGTAGGCTGACTTCGTCTATCCAATTTCTAGATGTCACTTTCTAGATGTTCAACCTTTTATAATTTCTTTCAATGGAAAATAGCACTTTCAGCATCTCATATAGTACTGATAATGTATATTTACATTATTGGGCCCGGTCCCCTCGGTCTCAATAATGTACTGATAGAGTATATGGACTCAAACCTCTCGGTCCCACGAATATTGGGTCCGGACAACGGTCTACGTACGCTCAGTAGACATCATTTACATTATTGTACATTCTATTTATTCACATGCATGGACCCATTAGAATAAATTAAACACCATTTATTGCAAGGCCCAAGCCTGGGGGCCAACCCATTTTTCTCCAATAAATATTCCCTATTGGGACCCATATAAAGAGTTCGCAATTCATTATATAGATCCACTTCTGTCTCTAGCTCTTCCTTCTCTCTACGACTATAGTCTATTGATATGCACTAATTTTTAGTGCATAAGTGTATGTTTTTTTTATTTGTTTGCAATGTTTATTTACCGTTATTGTGGAAGTTTGTAGTCGTTTGTTTGACTTTGATTGTAATTGTATCTTTAACATTTATTTGTATGTTGTTGGAAGTAGTTAGTTGGGTATGAGATTAGGAGAAGTTTAAAAACAAAAAGGATGAAGAAACATGAGTTTAGTGCAAAATCCAGCCGAATTGGCCTTTACCGGGTATGAAGTGAAAAACGAAACTGGTGGGTAATTACACTGATATCCGGTCGGGTATCAGTGGGAGAATGCTCTATCATATTTCTTTTGATTTTAGATATTAAGAGAAGAGAAGAGAGAATCTATTTCTTGATATATGGGATTTCGTCTAAGATTAGACTGTAAAGATCTTCAGAGTGTGGGCGATTGGTTGGAGGGTAGGATGTCCAGTTGGTGTCATTCGATTTGATGCTGTATAAACAGAGGGAAGGAGACGAGGGATAAGTGTAGATTGTGTGGAGGTTTTTCCAAATAACATAAATTATATTCTATTAGCATGGAAATCACTGTAGGGAAAGAGATCGGTTTAGACTCCCACAAACGCGATATGGTGTATGCGGACTTAATAATAGAGGAAAGTAGGAGAGGATAACAATATACACATTTCCCACACGGTAAACATATATGCTTTCAGTACCCATTATACTGCGGCTTCAAAGGTTAAGGTTACGTTTGTTCATGTATTCAATGGAAGAATGTACATAAAAAACTATGAATGTTTGACATGATAGAATATCGGGATAAACTTTCTCCGAGAAGTATATGTTTCTTGGAGAATCTATATCTCGATATTCTATCATGTCATACTTTCACTTGTATTTTCTTACAATTACTTTTATTATTTTGTATTCTCGAGTCAATGATACCTTGATTTTATGTACTACAACCTTTCTTTCTTAAATTCTAAGTTAATGGAATGAATGATATTTGACTTTATTTAGTGCCCGTTTGGTAACCATCAATTTTAGTGACTTTATAAGCCAATTTTTTCACCAAACGCTTAACTTTTGGTTTTACGGGCTGAATTGTGTAATAATAGGAAAAAGTAAGGTTAGAGTTACTTTTCTGGCTTTATTGGCTGAAGTTACTCTAGAGGGCCATTTTAGCTATTTTTCATATTATTTTTTCTTTATTTTATTAATAAAGTGTATTTTAACTTATTATTTTTCACAAATCAACAGAATCAGCCAATATAGCCACATCAACCGGAACTTCATAAATTTCAGCAGAATCAGTCAATACAGCCGATTTGGTAATTCGCTATTACCAAACGGGCTCTTAACCGATTAGTTTCTCAACTATTGTTCTACGTAGACTCGCCTTGTCTATCTATTTTAGAGATGTCACTTTCTAGATGTTCAGTCTTTTATAATTTATTTGAAGGGAAAATAACATTTTCAATCTCTCAAATAATACCCATATTCAGGGCCGGATCCAGGATTTTGAGTCAAGTGGGCCGGGGTGAATATTTTTTCGTTAGTGTCGGGGTGAAAATATTTTCGTTAGTGCAATCTTTGAGGCGAATATTTTTTCGCTAATGTAGCGCACGGGAAATTTTTTCGCCACTGTAGGGCTATGCGATTAGTTTTTATTCAAAAAAAACCATCAATACATACACAATGACGTTCTTAAGCTTTAAATCTATTAGTAGTACACTCTAAGAGGCCATTTGGCAACACTGTTTTTCGGCTTATCAGATTTATCAGCCAACTTTTTCACCAAACACGTAATTTTTGTTTTCGCGCACTGAATTGTGTAATAACCAGAAAAAGTAAGGCTGGAGTTACTTTTCTGGTTGTATTGGCTGAATTTACTGTAGATGACCATTTTAGCTATTTTTACATATAATTTTTCTTTATTTTATTAATAAAATATATCTTAAAAATAATTTTTTCTTAAATCAGCAGAATCAGCCAATACAACCACTTCAGCCAGAACTTCTTAAATTTCAGCAGAATCAACCAAAACAGCCGATTTTCATGCTACCAAACGGGCTCTAAATCTAGACAATGGAAATATAACTTTGATTTTATAATTGAAGTGCTCTAGAAAAGAGTACTGATATTGAAGTGTAAGAAGTGACAAATCAGAGAAAAATTATTTGAAAATAAAAAGGGATACATAACATTTTATCAAATTATTTGAAGATAAAAAGTTTAAAAGGTAAACATCGACCATTACTTTTTAATAACTTCTGTCTTGTTTAACCACATGAATCTTATCAAAATAATGATTTGGTTTTGAATTGCAATTTTTGCCACAAGGAGTTTTCTTAATATTATAATAATATGTATGAGATTTGTATTTTAATATTTTTAAAATAATACTACGTATTACGAAGTATATTGCTAATTCATATATATGGTGCATATTATATTTGTATTTAACTTCCAAATTTGCCTACTTAACTTCCGAATTTGGCAATGCTTTCTTCATGAAAGTTGTAGATAATGAAGTCCTCTATCCACCCCAAGTTGCCGAATGTGATTTGAATCATCCAATCAAGAGATATGATCAAAACGGTGGAAGGTGTCTTTCTGAAATCGCAGCAGAGATCATCTGACTTCATCGTCTGTTTTCACCTTCTTCCTCTCAGATTCTCGCAAAGGTGTCTTCATATCATTTGTATCCCTTGAAGTTAGCTTTCATATGGAACTTGAATCGTGTCCATTGGTTGTTTTGACAAAGATATATGCTTGAACGATTGACAGAAGGTCATCCTAATCGTCGTTTTCAAGCTTCATTCATCTTCTTTTGATCCCGAAGCCAATCCTAGAGCTCTTTGTCATCAAATCTTCATCGTGAATCTTCCGGTGACCTCCAAAGCTATCAAATCATTCTCAAATGCTTCTCAAATCATCCCGATTGTTCCTCAAGTGCCGGTACCCGGGCTCAAATTCCCTGATTTTGACTACAAACAACACAAAACTCGAACCAACGCCCGTTAAACATCACTTGAGCTAAAATTGAGACTTGCAACACCTTAAAGCTGGGAAAACCATAAAAATCCAATCCCAACACACATCAAATGCGTGTCTAAATACGGACTTATCAGATTCCCCCACACTTAAGCCTTTGTTTGTCCTCAAGCAAACTGAACAACGGGACATACGATAATCACCACACGGAATCAAAACAATTAGCATGCACACGTAGTTAAAGGGATATTCACAGAACAGGAAGACTAAACCAAGAAAATTCTTCCCTAAACTACATCTTTGTACTCTAGCTAAAATATTTGACAAAATTATTCACAACATCCTCAAAGTAGTGACAGCACACACAAATAAACTAGTTATTGATTAGAAGGACTTGTGAAGGTGGTGATGAATGGTTCATGGAAAACAATAATAGTCCCTTTCTTTTGAGAGATTGAAATATTCTAACAAAGACTCAATGCATTCAGGAATTTTAGGGCTATTCTTAGGAACAAGGAATTTAGTAGGCCACAATTTAGGAACAATCCTTTAAACCTATGCAAATAGTAGACATGGTGTACAACTGAGCTAAACCGTCTCGGCACATTTGTGCTTTGACGTATACTTGAAGTACGCGGAGGACTAAAGCTAATTTTTTGCAATAGCCTCCAAGTTCATTTAATTAGGTTCAGTTTTCCTTGTCATGTTGGCACGAGAACGCCGTTTCTTTCGAAAGATACCCAAGTCTCATCTTACGCTTTTTGACCGGGGCTCCGATTTCTTTTTTCGCAAGGCAAGAGGTCTAGCTATATTAAATTTTCACCTTTCGGATTCTCACTAGACATTACCCCATTCTAATCTCGGCCTCACCAAGGAAAAATAGCAA